AGCAGTAGTTGCTGAATAGTGTTTGCTCACCAAGGGAGGCAGTATTAGGCCTCTATTCAAAAAAGCAGCGTGCAGAAGACAAGCATCAGTAAATGGATGGCTGCAGAGCATTAGAGCCCACAAAAGTACCCTGGCTGCAAGCCTGTGCTGCTGCTATCACTACCCATGCTTGGTGCCCTCCCTCTTGAAATCAATCAGTGATGCTGCTGCCTGGTGGGAGGAGGCTGAAGAACTCTCAAGGAGCCTGCAGTGGGTCAGATATTTTGTTTGTCATCTACTGCAGACTTGCAAGAGAGAAGGACATTTTCCTGGGAGTCAGCCCTCATGTAACAAGCACTCCAGCTTGATACCATACCTAGAGAAAGCTGGAAAAAGCAATTAACTGCCTCTCTTACATGCAGAGTCCATTCGCAAAAGAAAAAAAGCATCCTACACGCAGTATTAATTTAGTTTGGCACAACAGTAGATTGAGCCCATCATACGTCCCATCCCTATTCCTGCTCTCCCTCCAGCCTGTGATCTTGTGTAGTACACCCAGGTGTTGGTGCCAATGTCAGGTGGTTAAATATCCCTTTGACACATCTTTTCTACAGGTGGATCTGACCTATAGTTCCTTGTCAGTGACTAGTTAACTGACAGAGACAACCACGTATCAGAAGGCTTCTCTCAGGTATGAGGCAGACCTGAAGAACAGTTACTATGCCTGGGAGCTGGCCTCACCTTCCAACTATACCAGTTATTACCACTAGTTGTCTTGCCTATATTGATGAAAAAACTGATTAAAATGTTCAGTCACCCTGATAAAAAGCTGAGTAATATTAATATTCAACTTCAGTATCTACAATCACCATCAGTATATAATCACCATATATTTCAGGTGACCTGAATTTACCCTGCATATCCCTGTTAAGGAGCTGTTTTGTTTGTTTGTTTTCAAAATGGGATGCCTGGTGTGTTTAAAAAATGGCTTGTATTCTTATTTTCATATCACAAAACAATACGAAAATTGTAATATTAAATGGGAACACCAACCCAATTGCCTAGCTTGCACATACAATAACAGAAACAACTCAGTCATGCACGTTGTTTGAAAACTTTAAAAAAAAATTTGTACATCGGCCCCAAAGCCTCCCAAATTCTGATTTTCCTGTGTATAGAAAATTATGCAAAAGTTTAAAGGAAAAAAATTCTAACATTTGCAGAGCAGCAAATGGTACCGTTTCAGGAACCTCTATCATTGAATGTTTGAGTAACCTGGACAATGTTTCTCACCTCTCAGGCTTTCTTGCATTAGACTAATTAACCTAGCATTTTATCCAGTGTACCCCACTCATTGGAGAGTTCAGTTAGAAAAAGCTCATGGTGAAGACATTTGTTAGGCTGTTTTTTCAAAGAAGTGCTGCTCATTCCCTGTAGTTTATCTCTACCTGTATTTCAGCTGTAAGAAACCGCTGTCACAGAGATGATGGCTGTCAGGATTCAATTTAGTCTACTTAGTCTGTTACAAGGCCAAAATTAGCTTCACCTTGATTAACTTAGTTTCTCCACAGGCTGCCACCTTGATTAACTTAGTTTCTCCACAGACTGCCTAATGGATCTATCCCAATTTACTCAGCCTTCAGATCACTTAAGTGATCTGAAGATATTATTTTCTTGTCTTAAATAAACAGAAGACTGATTAGTTTGAATTTTTTAAGACCATTGCATTTCTTATGCCCCATCCATATGAAGTGTGGGACTTTTTCATCACAGTGCCAAAAGCCTCCTACGAACAGCTAAGTACCTTCAGCGTTTTTCATACAAAACCAAGGAAGGACAGAGGTTGCTCAGCGCTAGGCAGAATTTATCCTGCTTAATAATACGGAAGCAAAAGACAACCATAAATGAATCTGAGACTGATGACTTAGAAGGAATGCTATGCCACAATAAGACTAGCTAGTTATCCAGGGCCCAATGCAAAGCATACTGAAAGTACTGAAAAAAATGCCCCCCTTGTGTTTAACAGGACTTGGAGCAGTAGCCCTTTATTGGGCAAAGGGCCTTTAAAATGTTGTTTCCTACAATAATCCCACAAAAGGAAATTTCATTTGACAAAAACAAAGCAACAGATCTTCTAAAGGACAAAGAATGCACAAAAGATGATCAGAAAACATAGTATGTGGCCAGATAACACCTGTAACCTATTGGCAGGTTTAAGTATCATCTTATATATATTCAAACATGAGGCTTACGTTGTGGTTGTTTTTTTTTCCCTTTGAACAGTTTGTCACTGACTATCCTTGCTGCCATTATGGGACTTTTCTGAGTTATCTGTGAGCTTAATTTAATTTAGAAGGTGGAGCTTTTTGCCTTTGAAAAATAAAATTGACTTTTACTGTTAAGACAGACAACCCACTCCAAGTAAAGTTTCCCCAATGATCATAGCAGATATGCCCCTCCATGAGACCCTTGCTGCTTTAGAATAGCAAAGCCAAAAATGACAATATGAAGTGAAATGTAGACCCAGACAGACTCAGAGATGTGTCCAAGGACCACAGTAGCAAGTTAAGGAAAAGCTGAATTCTGACACTGAATTCTGATACTGATGATATGCCAAGAACATCCATTCCTTCTTAGATTATATACAAATTACTTTTCACATACAAAAGGAAAATATTTCTCGAGCAATGAATGAACAAACTGAGCACTGCATGAAACTTGAAAACCTTAAATCATCTTGGAGACAAAAAGGAACTGGAGAGAGATGGGTTACAATTCAGAAACAGTTTTTACAGACTTTATTCCAAAAATCAATGTCTGGTCAGGAGAGGATTTTTGAAGTTTTCTCTCTTTCTGCACATACACCAATTTCCTGCTGTAATCTGTCTGCAAAAGCTGAGCATTTAGAGAAGCCTTAGCAGCAGCATTCAGAGTCTCAGAGAACTCTAATGCCAATAAGCATTTGCTAGAGAGTCTGATGGAAAAAATACATGAACAGATAAGAGATTTGGAAATCACGATTTTAAATTTGGTACTATTTTTGGCAGGCAAATCCACATTGATCTGAGTCTTGGGGAAAGTTACTGTAATCCTCACAGCAACAGGGACATAATGAGTTTTAGGAAGGAAGGGGAGCGGACAGCTAAAGCTGTAAAAATGTTGAACACATTGAAAAGTGTTGAACAGGCTTTATAGCCTGTCATGCATGTTCTTAATTCTGCTCTCGTTCTTCCCCCCACACTCCATGACTCCCAGAAAATAGAATGGATGCATAACAGGAACTAAGTCCCCATAATTGTGGCAATGCAGCTTTCTAGCCCCAGACTAGCTAAAGTACAGGAGAAATCCAACTAAATGCAACAGCAACTACACAGCCTGAAATAGCTCAGCAGAGTACACAAGCCTAGGGAAAGGCTAGGTCACTATTGCTCCCACATTAGCATTGTATGTCAACCCTAAAATAACTCAGAGATGGTTAGTCAGAGAGGGGCTGTCTTTTTGGTTTCTGTGTCCCAGTGAAGAATCAGCAGGTCCCATGTCAAAGACAGCTCCCTTGAGGTGGAGCGCTCTTGATTGGCCCTTAGCTAATGCACATGAAATGCTTCAGAGAAATTATAAACGACAGCTTTGAGAACAGATTAGTTTCAGGCTTATTTTAAATCAATGTTTTCCTACTTTGTGCCTTTTTTCAGGGGGGGAGAGTGAGGGCAGGGAGGGGACGACTGCATGTGCAACTCAGTAATCAAGAAATTAACTCATAGGTTTACCAGAATTACTTTGTTTTCATTTTAAGCTTGTCTAGGGTTTTAAGTGGATTCATACAGACAGAATAGGGGCAGGCATATCACTGAAGTGCTGTAGACAAACACCACAGAACATTGGCAAATGAAGAAAAATCTTGGGATCCCAGGGATCAGGATACATTTCCCACCAAGCTGCATGTACAAATTTGGGGCAGGTATTATTTGGTCATAGACAAATGGAATAGTTCCCTTGGCCGCTGTCACTCAGCAGTCTGTTGGACAGGCAGTGCCAAACTATTATAACTTTGGGAAAAAATCATTTGCACATGACAAATACTAAATACAGGCTTGATTGTAGAGAGAGAGGGAGTCTGAGGGGATTGTAGAGGGAGGGGGCTGATCATCTCCAGGCCGTAAAACGAAACACTCGTATAAACTGATGCCAGATGAGATTATAAGAATGAAGACCATAATACTAATTGATACTACCTCACTGTTCAATTTATCTGTGGGATTTTGTCACCTCTTGTCTTCATTGCGATCTCTGGTCTTTTGGACTGTGTTTGTTCAGATCCTAGTGCAGAATTATGGCTTTCATGGACAAATCAGCTATGTCAAATCAGCACTGAGGGTATATCAAATTATTGATATTTGCTCTCAGATTTCAGAGACAACAGATCACATCGATTGCTTACTACAATATTCTTCTAGTACTTTCACTTGCAAAATTCTGCTTATTTAGAGATATACTGCTCCCAATTAGCTGATACATACCTCTTCAGAATTATCTCTGATAAATCCTGGTAGCAGAACAAGAATATTGGCATTTGCTATCGTAATTGCAGTCCCTGGCACTGGTCTCTGTGCTCTGCCTTTCAAAAGAAAGGGGTAGCATCTGCCTCACCATAACACTCTCTGCCTGATGTGTGATACTGGTGATAACTGCATGTATTTTTCTTTCAGCAGTGACAGTCCTTTCCTACAGTGGTACACCTCTTCCAAAACTTAGCCTCACTGCTCTGTACCATACTAAGCCCTTCTTGGTAAGGTCAGAGCATTGATGCTTTTTTCTGAAACATGCATATTACTTTATATTTCACAGTCCTTAGCACTTAAGTTGCACACATCTCCAAGGGGGAGAAAAGGTACCCAGCTGACAACAACTCAGAAAAAACACTGAATCCACTTTGAACCACCTCTGTTAAGGATCCAAGATTTTTGTAAAAAAAGATTATAGCTGATATCATTGCAGTAATTACAGCAGGCTGAGATATTCACCTTTGACTGTGACCTGAGCACTGCAAGATGCCTGTCCTGTGTTGTTTTCAGCCAGACAGGTATAAATGCCATCATCTTCTGGTAGGGCATCTTGGACAGTCAATTTTGCAACTCCATCTTCAAAAGTGGAATGGGCATACTGAATTGGCTGGTCTGCAGACAGAAAGGAAGAGAATTGTCTTAAGTTTCAAAAGCACTTCTTGTTTTCAGTGAAATCTGGATGCCTAACACCAGCCAGTATATTAAAGTGCAGAGCCAAATCCTGCTCTCTGGTGCACAACCACTGCTCTCTAGTGACTACAAAGAGCAGCATCCCAAGCACAAAGCAGAATATGGTTGTCAGACAAATCTCACCATTAGGTTCACTGGGTGCTACCTTGAGTAACAGCAAGAGGAGAAAGGTTTATCTTTGTATTTTGAATAGATTCTCTTTCAGGTGGATAAGAAAAGAAATGTCTTGTGTGTTTGCTTCAGACATTGTCTTCACCTTGTACTTTGCCTGAAACTAGAGATTAGCATTGTCTAGATGTGCAAAACCTGTTGGGCATGGAGAAGCACTTGAAGTCCTCCATCAAGTACTTTGTAGTGGAAGACATTCCAAGAGAGACAGCAAAATCTATGACGGAGGCAAGAGGCTGATTTACACAAGCAATCAATCTACGCTACAGTATGTATAGTCTGGTAACAGACAGGTACAGTCTGATCTGTGGTGACGTGACTATTAAAGAAGTTCATTTTAAGAAACTGGTTCCTTTAATTGGTTTGGAACATGCTTAGTTAGTGTAGATGGTTGAAGTTGCCCTCCTATTGTTTCAGGAATTGTCATCAATCTCAGCCTTACTTTCTGAAATGATTCTACAATTTGTTTTCCCAATATTAAATAGTTTCCACTACTGACTCATCATTGGTTGCTTTCCCAGTGCATGCAATGCTTAAGAAGGCCTGATATCTGTGCATAAACATCATGTTGGAAAATGAAATTAGGGTCATCTAAGAGAAGAGGGTGAAACTGCAGAGAAATTGTGCAGGACTGAATCAAAGACATCTGACACTTGGGAAATCATGGTCAAAAGGAAAGACCAAAATTGATTTTGTTGCCAAAACAGTTTTAAAAGGTTAGGACAAAAGCTCTGGGGTTTCTAAGAACCAGCTCTGTACTATGAGCAGGATAAATTAAATGATGGGACAGATTTTTCTCTCATCTCTGATTTTCAACACTAGCAAACTCAGAAAGCAGTCATTATCTATGCACTATCTATCTGCACATGAAGTTTCATTCTGAAATACAAACATGTGCCAAAACCAGCATATACTTACATATATTATAAAACGTGGTAGATGATCTTGTTCCTTTATTTATAAGTCATCTGTTTGTTAAGTTAGCAAATTTTCTACCGCATGAAAAACTGGGATGAACATTTAATCAACTGCCCAGAAGACTCCAATTTCAGAATAAACTCTCTCCACCTTCTTCACAGGTCACATATTACCAGTTCCTTTGAGCTCCCTTTCACTCAGTTACACACAGACTGTTGAAACTATTAGGTCCAATCACATATTTTTTGCATGTGGGAATAACATTACATTCAAATATGTACATGTAGAGCTAAAGCCCAAGCAGACAAAGTTTTGTAAGAGGACATGGGGCACTGGACTGCTTTCCTGGCCTGACTGTAGAATATCTAACCTGACAGGGATCCTATCTGGGATTCTGACATTGAAACTAATAATGGTGCCTAATGATGCTATGATGTTAACCATATCAGAAATACACTCAGGATAAAAGCTGCATCATCAAAAGCAGAACAATGCCTTTTTATTTCTGTTGTAAATAAGCAAATGAATAGGGTAAGTGTTCTAGGTGGAAGAAGAAAATGTGGTCTCCTTTATTGCGTCCTCAAATTTTGTCAGGGCACCCTCTTTTTCAGTCCAGCTCCCAACAAAATTGTGACTATTCTTTAGCACTATTCACAGAATAGTGAATTCACTTACGGAATAGCCTTTTCATCAGACCCCAGAAAAAAACCACGAGTATATCAGGCCTGAGGAATAACCTGCAGCACGATTCTAAGTTATGTCCATTGTACTTATAATTTGATCTAATAAAAACAACTCTCCCAGTAGTGAAATGTTCCCTTCTCCAGAGGCAGAACAGTCAAATCTCCATGACAGCTTGGCAGCAGGAACAATAACAAAAAATACCTTTCTGCTGGCATGTTATGCCAGAAGAAAAGAAATTTTCCCCTGGCCCATTTATTAAAAGCTTTCTGGACAGATCAGAAAGCTATCCTAAAACCAAACACTACTCAGAGAATTGTTATGCTAAAGACATGGTCATACTGTTTTTAAATTCAGCAGAAAAAGGTTCAATTCAACCTTAGGTAAAAAAAAACACATGGAAAGCAATATGAAAAGGAAGATATTTAAAATACAGTCATATAGGCCTTATTCCTACAATTTAAAAAGAAGTTACCAATAAAGTATTTAAAGAAGCTAAAGTAAATTGGAGTTACATACTGAAGTATTGTCACAGAGAGCACGTGTAAGAAGTTATTTATAAGGCTTTGATGAAGCCAGAACTAAAACACAAGAAGTTTACTTTCAGGGAATTTGCTAGTAAATCAGTGAAAATTCAGAAAGAAACTTAAAATAAAGGGCAGAGTGAGAGCAAAAGGACAAAAGAACCATCTTGAAAAAGCTGGAAAAAAGCTTTAAATCATTAAAATAGGGAAAAAGTATAAGAAAGAAACTGAAGATGGTAGAGCTGCAAAGATGAGTAAGCTCGAATAAAATCCATAGTTAAGTTAGGTAGCTCTTATTTGTAAAGTCTCTATGAATATGGAAAAACTACTCATCTTCACAGATGCTAAGAAGTAATTATAGACAATGCACAGCATACATAATCTATTTTTTGTCTTGGTTGACCTGAAAGAGAGGTCAATCTATATAATGGCTTGGAAAATGTTTTAAATTTGTATGTAGTCACAGCTGGTAAAAAAGCTCAGTATCTGAAGTAGTACTTGTATGTAACATTGTACGAGAAGTTATTGCAAGTCTTTTAGTTCTCAGGTGGTGTGGATTCCTTGGAGATTGCGAGAACACAGATTGGACAGCGTACAGGCCCTTCAGTATCAAGGGCTGGCCAGCCTAGTAGTGAGACTGTTCTGCTTTTTTCCTATTTTTTATTTGTTTCTCAAAGCAGCCTTCTGTTCATGTTTCTTATGATTTGATAACTTGGTCTTTACATTCATTATTTCACTGAGATGTACATACTTTTCTCACTATTCCTTTCAAAAATTAATTCTAGTTTGTTATCATTGTCATGCTTGGAAGACAATTTGCATTTGATATTTTCTTGTGAACTTTACACATCCTGTCCCATATGATTTTTTGTTTCTATGGAGTTCTGCAAAAGTGCTGTATTTTGAACAGTAGTGTGATTGCTCTCAGCAGATCTCTTTTTTCTTTGCCGCAGCCCATCGGTTGTGAACGTAAAAAGATTTATATTCCAAGCATGGACAGCAGACTGTAACACACCTTTTTTTAAAACAAAATTTTTCTGCCTGCCTCAAATTATATACTGTGAATATACTGTTTTCTTCATATGGCCAGTTGATGAAAGACTCCATCATGTCATTTTGCCAAAAGCATTGTTATGTCTGCTTGGAGTAATATTTCAGGACCAGAAACACAACCTTCTCCTTTATTTGATAATGAATATAAATATGAGAAGTTTGTAGTATCTAGCTAACTTGTAGACAGGAAGGAAACGTTTGCATTCAAATGGATATCACAATAGCCAATTTAATCCTTAGGTAAAATAATGATCCTAGGAGTGTACATGGAATTATCAGCATTAAACTAATGTTTATAATCCATTTAAGTTTGTATCAAAATGGTATATAAACAGTTATGTATCACAATCAGATGCAACACAGAAGAGCATTAAACCATAGTGGTATGTTTTAGGAGTCTGGAAGTAGTGTGCTTATGTCTTTAGAATAATGTATGATGTCCCTAATTTCTATTATGATAGTTTCTTGTGCTTCTGTTACTCAGATGCATCACTGCCTTTTGATTTAAAAGCAGAATTAATGCACTGGCTTTCACTTACAGAACCCTAATGGTTTGAAATCCAACTATCAGAAAAAACCCCACCTGCTTTTGCCTCCTTGTGATATTGACCCAATTGCAGTTAGAAGCTTGGATGCAATATAAACATGGTTATACCTGAACAGGGGCGGACTCATCTGAGAGTAGTGAGAAGAAAGGTCAGTGCAGAACAAACATCCTGAAAAAAGGCAGGGGGGCACAGTGCATACCGGAGGCCTACAGAAACATGTTGCTTATTGGTCTCTAGCCTGTATTTTTCAAGAGACAACGGCTTTCTGGTTAGCAAAGCAGAACATGGTTACATCAATGGAGGAGATGTATCTATGCCTGATGAACTGTAACACAGAAAGTCATTTGAGACAGGAAGATGCTCTGTATGGGGAAGACAACTGGGTATAATTACATCATTCAATGTCTAAGGGAACACTTTATGATCAGGGAATACCCTTGGAATGTGAAGATGAAATGACTGACCGTATGGGTCGGAGTTGCTCCTTCTGTGCTGCAAGACACAATTCTTGCATAGCAAAACAGTGATTCTACTCATGTCTGCAAAGGAGGAACTGCAGAGTAGCCTTCAGACAGAGAAAAAAATTATTTCCAACGGGAGAGTGTCAGAGCCTTTACTTGCATGTTTTGTGTTGTAAATAAAGTGGTGGCCTTTCTGTTCTAGACATGGAGCTATTGGGAAGGGGAACAGACCAGGCTGTGGGAACATACCAATCTCAAGATCATGGTTCATTTGCCCTGCCACCTTTTTCAGTTATCCCATTTACTCTGAATAGCTAAAGAAAAACAGAGATCATGTGCAAATAATTAATTTTAAAACAATCCTGGAGGAAACACCTTTATGGCAAAGTATGGTATTCTTTTGTCTTTAAATCACACACACAACATACCCACAAAGAGAGAGAGCCTGGGAGAGTCTGCAAAAAAATCAATTGCACTCCAGGGTTAACGGAGGTGATCAAGGGTCAAGCTGAATAAAGCTCTCTAGTGTTTAATAGATATGGCTTTAAATGGAAAGAACCCTTAGCCAAAGCATGTAGTCCCTGGATCTCTGAAATCATTTGGAATCTAAGCAAAATGCTGATGTTTGGGCCCAACTCCGATATTAAGAGGGGACTGTTAAGGAATCTTGCACGTTGAGTTGTGGAATCTGGGCAGGATAGGAGATTATACAGTCTGATAGAAGTAAAAAATGTTTTATTTATCCTTTTTTTTAGTCAGCTTTGGGCAAGCGTTAGAATCTCAAGGAACATATTTCTAGTAGAGAAGCAAGCAGAAAAGCTGTGATTTTAAGATCTTGGGGACATAGCTGCTAATACCAATTATGACCTGCCCAGCTGATGGAAGGGTGGAATCGGGCATGGGTTTCCTTCCTACCGTAAAGAGTGATATACTGCACTTATTTTGCTTAGAACTTATTATTCCTGCAGGATCATGATGCCAACCCGTTACTCTCAGAGCAGAGGCTAGTGCCAAGGGGGTGGGGGTAGCACAGGATTCAGCACACAGTAGCCACACAGGCTTTGTTGCAGCGTGGTGAAAAGCTGTGTTTAGCAAAACCCAGGAAACCCATCTGCGTACAATCTTGTCACCAGAGTCCCCTGCTGGACGTACTGGAAAACTGCAGTAAGACAGAAAACTGCTTAAGAAAACCACCCTTCGTGCATATTACGTGCAAATAAACTGATTTTCTTCAAATATTCTAGTGAATTATATTACGGTGATTTATAGTGCTTTGTGCAGTATTCACAGCCTTGCTATGTACTGATCAGAGTGGCATTTGAGACTGTGGATGTAAGTGCGTGCATGCATGTATTGCAGACCAGGGGATTCCTTACCATTGAGAAGCCATGTGATCTGAGGCACAGGTACGCCTCCTACACAGCACTGCAGCACAAAGTCTTGCCCTTCACTCACAGTGCATCCTTTCAAGACACTGGAAAAGCATGGAGCAACCTCTTGAACTTTAGGCCCTTTAAAACCAAAATGAAAACAGTTCCTTTAACCCAAATTGAAAAAATTATCTTTACCACTTAGTGACTTTTTCTAGGTATGCTCAGGTGACATGGCTGGGCTAAAAGATTCATCCCATGCAAACAACCAAAAAAAAAAAAAAAAAAAAATCAAAACCATGGTGCAATGTTTTATTGTGAAATAGAAATCATTCTGAACAATGGACTGGTATAAAAAAGGGGTTCTTCTATAATCTACAAGGCAAGCGTTGCCAGCCCTCAAGCTGTATCTTAGGTGGTGGTTTTCTATGCCAGAATCCACCATTTGCAGCCAATCACTAGAAGTGTATGCAACATATTACCAGCGAGCTCAGTGCAATGAACAGGAAGGATAATTCTTCTCTCATCTTCCAGACTGTCTTCTCCCAGTCCCTCTCCCAAATTTCCCCTAGCTGGCAGTGAAATAGGGTGACTTAAGAATGCAGTTTACAGGTCTCTCATGAGACAGAAAGAGAGTATCTTGGGTATCCTGGTTTAACCTCAGGCACAGCAAATAGAGAAATGTTGCATAAACATGATCATAGCTCCAGGACAAAACCTAAAACCAGGTGAAAAGATTAGAACTGAGGACAGGATTTGCTAAGAGGCCAACAAATCTTTCAACAAGGCAGTAAGACAGTGCCTTCAAGCTTAAAATAATTTGTCACTAGGAAGTGTACTTGAATTTAGCAGAATGCAATTCTCATTCCTTCACTTTTCTTCTTATTTGCTTTACTGCACAGGATTGGTTTGTGCTTGCAAAACATTTCAGATATGCAGTGTCCTACAGAAATGCTAAGCAACTCCAAAAGAATTGAATGCAGAACAACTACGATAAAATCTTTGGCAACCTGTATTAAACACAAGCATTAGTAGAAAACCTCAGCGGAGAACAGGCCTCCCTGCGTACAAAACATTCAATGAGATGGTTTTAGCTATACAAACAACAAAAACAAAAGGTCAGAAGGGAAACTGATGCAGAAAGTGGCTTGCCAGCTATCCCACACCACATTATTCACAGAGCTAGGAATCAGAATTAACCTGCATTGAGAAGTTGTAATAGAAATTTTGTAGTCACCACCCTCTGACAGCTTAGAAAAGCCCAGCCACAGTTTTCGAAGTGCAGATAGGCTCACAAGAACTTACTTACTTCTGACAGTTAACAACCAACTGGTGGAAGTCTGGCCTTTTGGGTTGAAGGCTGCACAGCTGTAAGATCCACTGTCCCCCAAGCAGGCTTTCTTTAACCATAGGCAATGAATTCCATCTTCTTCATATATTTGGACATCTTCTCCAGCTTTAATAGATTCACCCTCTTTGAACCACTCCACATTTGGTTTTGGGTTCCCTGAAACTAGACAATCAGGTATTTGAATTTTTATCAACAGGTATTCCCCTTAGTGTAATTCCATTATTTGCTTTAGTGTAAATTAGGTATAATTTACACATACATAATTATATAAACCTTAATGAGCATGTAATACACAAAACTACCTTCAAAAAGATGGTTTGATATTTCTGATCTTCCAAAACCTCTTAGCCAGTCCATCTTTTAAAATAACAAATATTTGGTAACTTGAAAAACCCCAAGCACTTCTATCTGAAAATTGTTCCTCTAAAAGTCACAGACAAAATGGATGTGATGAGATATTAGAGGAGAAATAAAGAAATTTCTCCCCATTCCTTCCTACCCTGCTAAATTGGTTTCTCTGAGCACCTAGCAGTACTTTGCAATCCACAGTACCTACCACTGAGGTTGTTTATTCTGGGACTGTTCAGCCTGGAGAAGACAAGGCTTGAGGGGGATCTCATCAATGTGTATAAATATCTGAAGGGAGGGCTTAAAGAAGACGGAGCCAGGCTCTTTTCAGTGGTGTCCAGTGATAGGACCAGAGGCAATGAGCACAAACTGAAACACAGGAGGTTCTGTCTGAACATAAACACTTTTTTACTGTGAGGGTTACTAAGCACTGGCACAGGTTGCCCAGAGAGGTTGTGGAGTCTCCTTCCCCGGTGATATTCAAAAGCCACCTCGAAATAGTTCTGGACAACCTGCTTTAGTTGATGCTGCATGAACAGGGGTGTTGAACCAGATGACCTCCAGAGGTCCCTTCCAACCTCAAACATTCTGTGATTCTGGGTATTTTTTTCCAGTGTGGGGTCCAGATGTAGGCAAAGCAGGCAGCTTCCTAGGGCAGTAAACTTTCAGGGAGCAGAAGCAAAACAGCTGTGGCTTCACTGGCTGCTTTGCCTGTGTCAGAGCCCTAGAAAACCAGATTTGGCTCCTAGTAGTGCTGAGGAAGGTCTGGGCCTCATGGGGCAGTTGCAGCAAAGAGGAGAGGTTAGGAAAGAATGCCGGAAAAGGTCACCCACCCCATCCTTCACTTATTTTCAGCAAAGAAGGCCTTCTGGGGCTTCCACCTTTTTGATGTTCCTTCCCAGCTCTACCCATTTCATTATAGCAAGAGTGCTCAGCCCCGGAGGAAGGTAGAGACAGTAAAAGATGGCAGGAATATCTGCAACAAAGACATATGATATACTGCAGGAAACCCGTCTGAACAGAGAAAATACAAGGATAGGGGAGTGACTTATCAAGAAGAGGAACCCTTAGCTAGAAGCAGGACCCCACCTGATACAAGTGGCTAGAAACAGGAAAACAAGGAATTCCTTCTTTGGGGAAAGAAAAAAAAACAACCCACACCCAAAAAACAAAACAAAAAAACCCAGTCCCTAAATCCAGCTCCAAATCCATAAAAAATTTGGAAGGGGGCAGGTTACCACTACACCCAACAAATGGAGCAAAAAATGGAATGCCCATTGCATACATCGGAAAGCAGGAAATGTCCTTTTTCTGTGAATTTTCTCCACTAGGAACTAGAAGTTATTATTCAGAAAAGTTTCTCTTTCCTGCTCAGCAGAGAAAGAGCACATTGGAATCCACAGACAATTAGTGAAGAACAACAGAGGTGGGAGAACCTCCAGAAGCTGGGGGGAAAAAAAAATCAAGCCCTGAAATGTCAAAGAACCTGGATGCTTTGTAGTAACTGTACAGACCCAGAAGCATGCTGAGCTGACAGCCTGGCAGGCAGAAGCCTCCTTAAGGGTGTGATAGCATTTCCATTGTCCATTGCAACCAGGAAGCAGAGGTGCCTGTGAAAGCAACCCTGGTCACCCTTTACAGAGAGGATTCTCGGAAAAGAGAGTTTCTCGGATTACTTATTAAAGCGCACTAGGGACATTCCACTGTAGCTTCCCTACAGACACCTTGCTTTTGCATGTAAGTGTGTGCTTTGGGTCCAAAGGCAAATGAAAAAGCATTCACTGGCTTCAATAAGAACGGAATGATCTCCTTGGTTTCTGTGCAATAGGGACTACATTTCCCTACCAAACAGCGTCATGAATTAGTTAAACCTCGCAAAGTTTTTGAGATGCCCTGATGGAAAGCAATCCATGTACTTAGTACTAATATACCTGAAAAATAAACTATTCAAAAGATGCCAGGATCTTTGGAATATTTTCTCCCCTCCTTACTCTCTGGGCTTGTGATATAAATTGTATTCTTTACTCATGGGGCAAGAAATATCAAGAAACGAAATAAATTACTATGGTTTTGTTGTGATTTTTTTTTTCCTCCAGCAACATAAAAACCAATTTCTCCTTCACTTTTGGGAACACTTTAAAGTGCAAATGTTATTTTAAAAAAAAAGGTAGAAAAATGCTTCAAAATTATTTTCTACTGAAATTGTAATAAAAAAAAAAAGAACTGTTCCAAATCTACTCCCTGGATTCAGCAAAATGCAGCTCTCATTACTCTTCTGAGAGTTTAAAACCCGGTCAAATTCTGCACAGCAAACTCTAAACCTCCCTTTTAATTCTGACTTTATCATTTCAGCTGTTAGAAAGCACTCAGATCAGCACTAGGTTGACCAAATATGAGGGGTAAAAGTAGATGCCGCAAGGGAAATGCAGTGACTGACTGTAGTTTCTTATCTGATCATTTTTTCTGCCTCAAGGGCAATATAACTAATTACAGTTCTGGAAAGTGTACCATCCATTTTCTCTCTTGCACCCTCATATATAAGAGGCCCTAAAACTACCTCCTAGAAAGAACGGCATTGATTACATCTTGGGAAACCCCAGATGAGAGAAGGGATGGACACTACGGTATGGAATAATTTGAAAATTTCATTGAGAAAAGTAGTGTGGAAACAGCATGAGATTCTGCATCTATTTCCAAATTGCTTTAGGAAGAGGAAAACTTGCAGTGAAGAAGGAATTGCTTCTGCACTTACACACAGAAGGGGAACCTGACTAACCCCAGGGCTCTGATAACTTTCATCTCTTTACCTTTGCTCTTGAATTTAATCTCCTGGCCTTCTGATGCTTCCAGGCTCTGTGGACGGCTCTCAAACTGAGGGGGAATTCCGAGAGGCTCCCTCTTCTCCTCCATTACAGCCTTCCGGCCTCCAGATGTGTTTTCTGCTTCTCTGCTCCTTGGACTGACTTGCCCTGTCAGAGGTGGGGTTTGTGGAGCTGACATCAGGGGCTGCACAGCCCTTTTCCTGTCTTCACCTTGTCTGATGAAAGTGGCCTGGGGTTCTGCCTTTGGTTCTGGCTGCAGTTTGACAGCTTGTAGTGTGATGGTGCTTGAAGTTTTCTGCAAGACCTGCGATCCCTTTTTTCCTTCTTTAGGTTCTTGAGGAGACACTGCATTGGCTTCTTGGTGCTGTCCCTGCTTACTATCTTTGGCTTCTCTGGCGATGTAGAAGGTCTCTTTCTTTGCTGACACCCTGTCTTTGGTTTCAACCATGAGTTCAGTGCTGCTGGATTTCAGCTCTTTAGCAATCCCATTGCTAGTTGCCTGTTTGAATTCTGAATTTTCAATGGCTTTAACAGCAAGTGTTGGTTTTGATGGCATGCTGAAGGAAAGGATAAGTTTACAGATATATGACACTGTATAAAGACTAATTATTATTATCAGCAATGATATAAATATACAAGCCCTTAGCAAGAAGGTGAACTAATTAGCCTTCAGTTTCCTTCACACAGATTAAGAACACGGATGAAAGAGGTCAAGTGAAAAGCTTCATAAAATGTGATCAGTGCTCAGACACTGTCTCAGCTGAGGAGTTTCTGGATACAAATCCACTGCTCAGGTTCTAACATGTTTTGTGAGTCAGACACTAACCTTGCATACACTGCTTCAGATAGAGAGCAATTACATGAGACCCTGGAAGGACCATGATATAACACTACTTCATGCTTTAATAAATTGAGGCCACATATAATTACAGCTCAAAATGCCACATAAAATAGTTCCCTAAAGGGAAATGAAAATGTAAATTGTGCAGTGAATTTACTATTTCTAATTATGGTGTCGTGTAATGTAGATGATTTCAAAAAAGGACTGATCAGGAAACTTGACTAAAGTCTAGGGGAGGAAGAGGGGGTGTCGTCAAAAAATAATCAATTGACTGGACGTAACAATATCAGCTATGGTTTTATTAGGAAGAGTTCCTCAGAATTATGATGGATCTGCTGCTCAGTACTTTGGGGGCACAAGAGTAGCTGACTAATTGGGGACTTGAATCTAAGTTTCCTTCACTGAAGTTGACTGCCCTGACCATTAAGCTATTACCTGTAGAGCAGTGTGTCTGTGTCTCACACTTCCAAAGTATTATTCCAAGGCAGAATTGGAACATATTTGAAATACGGGAAGTAATTTCTAGCCCAGCTCTGTTTTACTACACTTAGTGCCATTGACTTATTCTCTCAGGGAGATTCAGGATATTTAGTGTGGTACTTTCTTCAGCCAGAGTTAAATGTACTAGAGAAATAATGCCTATGAGATTTGCAGTTACAACTGTAACATTTTTATATTTTACAAAATATCTCTTTTTTTGTGAATAAACAATGGAAGAGGCAAAACTACTCTGGAGAATCCAGTACAGGGGGAGTTCTGGCTGTAGAGCTGCACAGTTTCATTTACACTAAACTTATTTTAAAGTATGTTCCTAAAAATCACACAGACCTGAAAAACAGGGTAGCACAGCATTTTCAGATCCACGTTCAGTGGACATGGAGTTAGGACAATGTAAACATGCCATTTTGAAATCCCATCCAGGGCATGTGAGGACAGATTAAACACCCTGAAGATTGTAAAGCAACTGGCCTTCATGAAAGTGTCTTACAGAGTCAGCTTAGAGCCTTTCATTCCTGTATTTTCTATTAATGAAAAAAAGCCGTTTTACAAAATTATTTTTTTAAAAATTACAGTAATTTAACTTTAAAAATCTTGATAAAGCCCTAAAACATGAAAATTTTTGTTTCTTGTTACTTTACCCATACTTTTGTATGTATTTTCAGACAGCAGCAAAGACTATGGCCATACCACATTTTGCTTATAACCGCAAAGAACAACCAGCTCAGTACTGACAAGATACATGCAGCTTTTTGACTCCAAAAAGGAAATTTGACCAATTGGTACAGAGTATAATTTCTCCTCACATAGTTTTTGTTCAGATTACATATCTATTTGGCTACATGGGAACAGTAAGCATAAAGCCATCTAAATTTTGCTTTCCTAAACCAGACCAGAACTCTGTACTTCATAGTGTTGCCACCAGTTCTACCAACTATTTCATAGGAGTCTACCAGGACAGCTGAATTTGGCAGTAAGAGAGAATCCCATTCCAAGTAAACATTTTCTAATTTCCAAATATGGACTGACCCAAAAAGGTTTATCACTTTGTGAAGAAGGCTCATGCAGTAAATGCCAAAATTAGTGCACTGCAATAAAACATTCTGAGAAAGTATTCCGGTAAAAACATACCATGGTGGCTGAGCATATGTGTCAGTTTTATCTGGACCTGAAATAAAAAAAGAAATAACAGGTAACTTATACATACAATATTGTACACAATTCCATAAATTAGAAATATTTTAAGCAAAGAATATACTTAAGAACCTTCACTCTTCATATTTTCAATTCACTGAAGTCAAGATTGACTATCACCACACCTGAAATTTTATATGGACAACAGCAAGCTGCTCAGCTGAAACACAAAGAGGTCTTGGTCCATTTTGAGACATTGCTGGGTCAACTAAGTTCTCAAGTCCCTTGAGAACTAAAGGTTCTGTGAACCTCAAAGGCTCCTTGTTGGGGGAGAGAAGTAAGAAAATGATTCCAACTGGGAGGCAGCTCATCAAATCTGATGGGAATTCCACAGAGCTTATAGAAGTGGAGAAAGACAAACCATAGGTATTACACCTGAGCTTGCCCACAGTGAAACTGCAGCTGTCCTCTGGCTAAAACACAAAACCAAATTAACAGTAGTAAAAACTCCCAAAACCTGAGCCCACCTGTAAACTTTTACCAACTCATTTACTGTGTAGCAAGTATTATCATGTTTAGCATGAATAACACAAAAGCTAGCATATTGCATTTCTTCACTTTGCAATACCACCAGGAAATCTGGGAACATGGCTGAGCTATATTGATTTGCCAAGGTACCTCATCAGCTGCACTGATATAACTGAGCACATATTTGCCCATAGTCAGTCTCTTAGTTCACATGTATGTAATCCTCCATGCATTCTCCCAAATCTTGAGTATTTGTTTCTCTTGGGGGCAGCATGAGATAATGCATAGTTGGGAGCAGAGAAATACCACTCCAGATCAAGTACCAACCACATCTCTCCATTTTTCCCTAGTTAACACTACAGGATGCAGCTTGTTTTCTTCTGGTCAAATCAAAATTGCATCTACGCTGTTGTCAGCTGTGAGACTAGAAACTACAGTAGAAAGACATGTAATAATGAATTTGCAAGATAATGAATTTTGCAAGTCATCAACAAACACTCCATAAAAATGCTTTCAGAGTCTGCCTCAGGGAAAAGACAAAAACATGTGATGGATGATACCTTGATTTCCACTGTGTTTTGCAAGCAAAAATCCACATCTAAATGCTTGGACTTGCCGCACCATTCAGAGTGACCAAAAGAATCTATTTACACACACACAAAAGTTGCAGTAAGAAGAGGGAAATAACCCATTGACCTCACTACAATAAACCTGTCAATAAACAGTAACAGAAATTCTTCACATAAAAATTAAAGCTGAAAAGAGACTGGATAAATGCAGAAGAGGAAGCTGAATAACTACTGGTTGCATTCAAGACAATACCATACAACCTGGTCAATTAAAAGAACATTTTCCCCCTCCCTCTCCACTTTCCACTATGGGAACTTTGGGAAAAAAATGTAGCTCTTGGAACAAGATTATCTATATATGAGATTTCATGGATTTAAAAGAAAATGTAGTAATTCTGAGCCACTTGATTGTCTGTTAGCATCCTGCAGCAACTCCTATGACCTGATTTAATTGATAATGAAAGAATTAGGTATTATATATTGTGGTTAGGTAAGTGGAATCATCTGATTAGTCAAGTACATTGCAAGAGAGTGCCCTTTTTACTGACCTGTACTAATCCAAGAAAGAATGCCTGCATTATTCAGAGATGTGGTCAGCATCTGAAGCAAACATATACCACAACTGACTTTGTGACCCCAGTTCCGCATCAAATGTACCCATTACACAACAGAAAGCTCACCACTTCAGGGAGAGCAAGTAAGGATCAAGTTTCATGTTTTAAAAAAAGGCTTATTGAACAAAATGGCCCTTTCTAAAAAACATCAGTTGAATAGGCAATCTGTAGAAGCTCCTTCTAGAGTGGCTTCATCAGATTGGAACTTAGAGATAAAAAGTAGAGCTTTAAGTGGCAAAGACTAGTTGTAGTTCTGAGGATCCCAAATGTTATCCCTCTTTGTTATTTATATTCTTGATATCTCACAGAGTGACAGCATTGATGTGAACCTAAAAACCTTGCATCAAAAAATTCACTGCTAGATGCGTATGTAACTCCCTGATCTTATGACTGCAGCTGAAGCCAGCAGCTGTTGATTTAATTATTTAATTGGGTCCAATGACTGCTTACCCACTGACTGATGAAATTCCTCTTTAGTGTGGTTGCTGAAGGTTGTATGCAAAAGGCACCCTAAGAAGCATCAAACTGCAAAATGAACTGTATGTGGTAATGCATATATGGAATAGAACATCCTAAATTATAAGTTCCTTTAACAACAGTGAAATAAGGCAGGGTTGGGAGTTAAGAAGCCTGAATTTTAATATCATTAAGCTGTTTTTTCTCTCTTACAGTTTAGAGTTATGCTCCTTTACTTTACTTTTCTGCATCTACAAATATAGATACAATTTTGTTTCCCAAAAGGGAGCTGGTATAAATGTGCAGCTGGTGTTACTACTCAACAAATACAAAATTAATTACTGATTATAACGACAAGTGCAAGGTTTCCATTCACTGAAATTAAAATCTATGTTCAAAACCTATGGAGGTCAAAAGCATAGTAAAAGTGAAAAGTTGGTTTTAAAGAAAGTTGTTACAAAGCATTTGGATGGACTTCTTCCCATTGAACCAACACAATGTTTTCAGCTGTAGCACAGTCCAAGCTATCACAGTATCATTTAATGAAAAGAGACGAAGATAATGCGAAAAAGTGAATGCTTATACTGAGAACACAACCAAAGATATTTTAAAGGAATGTCTGTGGTTCACTTGTGCTCTCTCCTGTAAACTCTTTGCCATACCTTGAACAGTGAGCTCTGCAGACACAGATGCCTTCCCAGCGCTGTTTACCACTGTGCACGTGTAAATTCCTGAATCAGCAAGCTGAGCATTTTGGATTTCCAAGAACTGGATGCCTGTTTTCTCAAACATGTTGAAACGCTCATTTTGCTGCAACTGAATATCACCCTGCAAATATCACAAGACACCATGAGACAGCTAGCTATTGGTAAGCGAAGGGGAGCAAGAAATTTTTTAGTAAAACATCAGGTCAAAATGTCTTTCTCCTTTCTTTTAGCCAAATTTCTTCTATGAATAATACTCAGATGGTATAAACAAAAAACCGTGTCCAAAAGTTCTATAATTCACGTCTGCATGAGGCTGTTTTTCCCTGCATTTTGCCACCCACTCATCTCAGTTTGGTTTTGGCTTTTCATTATTTACTATATCCCTACTCCTAGAAAAGTTTCTTTTCACTGGCGTGTGGGCTCAAACCAGTTTTCTGTTCATGTTTGTTCCAGGAAGTCAAACATCACACTTTTAAGCAAAAACTTCCAAGTTGGGGAGTAGTTCTCTATCCCTCAATAGCTCCTTTATCCTGTATCACTTCAGGAACTGGAAAAAATTCTGCATAAGAGGACCTCACCAGTGGCCCGGTGGGGGTGGCAGAAGGCACTAGGCATACATTAAGCGAGGCATTGCTGCAACACAGCTCCTTTGCAGTACTACACTGGAGTTAAATCAAAAGGTATGGCTTTGAGGCAGGAAAAAATGCATGTAGTTCTATGCTGTCTGTTACATAGATTAGATGATCAGAATGACAATTTTTTCCTTTAAATTCTATGAAATAATTGGCCAACACCTCATTTGTGAGCAAATCCGTGCTTTTGCTTCAGCACCAGCCATTAAAGAGGAGTCCCTTGCTATCAGCCACTGCAGCTTTTCCTATCCTAAGTTTAGGAAGAGAAAGCATACAAATCTACGATTTGTAGGGCTTTGGTCAGTAAACATTTGGGAAACACTACAGTGTTTTCAGACACTGTAATTCCTGAAGTTTCTATCAACTTATTGCTATCTGGGTGCTGTAAGTCCTATTTGAACAAAAAGAACTAGTTCACATCAGGGGTTTGGTGGTGATACAGTAGAAGCTTCCGTTCTTTGCAACTTAACAAGTAAGAAAACGGGAAAGAAAACAATAAGCAGAGTAAGACATTTACATAAAAGCTTACTCATTAGTTCTGAAAAGTGCAATTTTAATTGTTTATAAAGCTTCCATGCTGTATGGAGGGTGGTCATGTGTTGGCTCTGCACTAGCCAGTTGTGGTCCAGCAGCCATGTAAGTTCATTTCCATGATGCTGAGGCAGAACTGAAATACCTACCGCTCACCAGGACCCTGCAGCACTGTTCTGACATGACCAGAAGCATTGTGGGCCTTAGCTTGTTTGCAGCTAGCCAAAGCACATGCATGAATGCCTGTTAATCCATGCCTTATGAATAGGGATGCAAAAACATGCTTCACAACAACAACCTGCCAGTAAGACTCTGATAAAGAGCAACAACACATTTGCACTTTAAAGAGCATATAAATTATTGAAGGACAGCTTCATGGTGCTCAAAACGTGCTAAAATAATACTATGAAAGCCTAAAGAAAACCAATTTAACCAAAAGTGATGGATTGAGGATAAGTTCAAGAGAGTGGACTGGGTGTCTGCAGGCCAGCAATGGTATGACTACTGAACCTCTGAACAACACACCTGTAGTATTTTACAGAATAATATATGCAGACCTGCAAGTGTTGAAATATGGTTTTTAAGGACATAAACATGAACAGAACTCATGGAGCTGCTAATAACAAGAACTTTGCATACTTCATTTATTTGATCAGACAATGAATGCCAGATTATAGAATAATACATTATAGAAGCTGACAATCAATAGTAAAATATAAAATATAACCTCTAACAAACTGCAAAAACATGTATGAAGTAGTACCAAAGTGTAGATCCAAGCTGCTGGGTTGCTAGTCCCTACTTGCTGTTTACCATGCAGCCCTGAACAAAGAGAACTGAATGACAAATCCTGTTTTGCACTGAGTTGCATGGCTGGAAAACCTCAGTGAGTCTGGTGGGACTGGAAGCAGGCTGTTGTGTAGCAGCTGCATTGCAGACTGCCTAGACAGCCAGCAGGCCCAAAAGAACTGATGGCAGCTGGAGGGAGAAGCAAACTCTAGATGCATCCGCTAACTGAACTGAAGGAGATGTCTTTCTTAGCACTTCCACAGCAAGAAGCTGCTTGTTTTCTGAGATGTACCCTGGCATTCTTGTATTACAGACAACGAGGATAAGTCTGGAATAAAGCAGACAATGACTTGGAAGCATTTCCCTGCTCTATGAGCAGTTTTCTGGGTTTTTTGTGGTTTCGTTTTCCCCCCCAGAAAACCTGGAGACACCAGAAGAAAATAAAAGCTCTGAGAAAAGCTTATTTTTTTTTACTATACATAAGGCAACTGTCTGCTGACGGCTGAAGGGGAGCAGGATGCCAACAGAGCAGTCATATATTTGCTTTCCCAAATTAAAGAAAGTAATTGTAATTCTCTCAAATACTAAATAGTTTCAGTAAAAATGGCTTAAGCAGTGTAATATTTAATTATCACTTGAAAGCTCTCTCCTTACTAACAAAAAAAAGTGGTTGGAGATCTTGTGTATGCCCAAAGAGGGCACTAGGACTTAAGTCTTCAATGCTTTTTTAATAGTCTAATGAATTTTAAATATTGCTCATTTAAAAAGCATTTTGTAAATGACAGATGCTCACAATTCCCAATTTTAATGCAGATCTGGAGTTGACAGCTCAGGTCTCCTTTATTTTATGTCAGACACTTTTCTGCTACCACTGTTTTAGCAGAGGTCAGACTGAAGCAGTTGAACTGTTGTTCATCTGCCTTGGATTTTCTTTTTTCTTAATTTGCAAAAAATAATTTTGCATGCCAAAACCCAATCATATCTATTAATTCCTAAACAGTTAATTTTTTTTTTTTCAATTAATTTCATTTCTTTGCAAACATCGTCTTCATTCTGATGTACAGATAAAAGCCAATGTGAGTGATACAGAAAAGGCAGTTTATGACTGACATACTAACACGGAACTTAGGAAACACAGCTTAATTTTCACAGCTGTCAGAAACTCCTCTGTAACCACAGTCAAAGCATTAAATCCTTGCAAACCTTCTCTATAAAACAGAGATGATGATAATATTCACATTTCCCATTCTTTGTCTACTTCTCTTATCTAGTTAGTAAGATCTTTGGGCAAGTATATCCCATACTTGCTATTTTTATAATAGAACCTGGATCTTGTTTGGTGCTTTCAGATGATTTTTTTGTACAAATATTTTCAACAATGAGACAGATAAGGGAGAAGTTTATACTAAGAAGGAACGCTATTATCTTTTGTGAGTTTATTCAGCATAAAAATGAGGAAGTATGTATGTAAATTTGTATGTAAATTCTCACCATGATAATTTGCAGTGGCAAGTGCATTTCATCCTTTCAAGTCACAAAATTTCAAAATAGAAAGAAAACATTCATTTTTTGGGAAATCATACCTTAAACCAAGTTACTTGAGGCTGAGGTCGTCCTGTTATTTTACATGAGAATTTGCCTGTTTGGCCTTCACGCACAACAACTCTATTGGGTTTTGTAGCAAACTTGGGTGGAGACTCTCCCCAGATGCTTGGCCTATGCTCCACAGATGGCACAGTAAGTCTTCCCCTGGAAAGGCAATTGACATCCTGGTTTTACAGAAGACCTGGAAGCTGTTGTGGTTAGAGCACACTTCAGGAAGCATTTTAGACCAGGGGTCTGCCAACAAGGATATATAATTGGTGGCAACCAAGATTGTATTTAATATTTTTTTTGGCCAATGGAAGAAATGGAAATCCTGCTGATGACTGCTCTTGACTCCTTATGCAACTGAATAGTATGATGCTACACACCTTCTTCCAGCATACACATAACTCACATAACAGATCTTGGGGATAATTTCAGTTGCTTATAAGCAGAGCTGGGCAAACCAAATGAATAGGACATACTGCATGCATTTAGTTTTTCCCATTTTCTTTCTTAGTTGCCTCCTAATAGATCATTTGTGCATACTTGTTCACTGTTCACAGTTCTTTATCACGTAATTTGTTTTGACGTGGAATGCAATGACACAGTAATTTCTGATTTATGAATCAGCAACTTGTTTTTGCAACATTTCTGACATGTCCTGGTAAAGATTTTTGGTTTGGGGAAGGCTTCTATTTGGAATCTCATTCACTACAGTGTTTGCAAAGCAAACATGAAAAGGGCACAAAACCAAAGTACACCCACCCCAGGTGAATGTCTGTTAAGTGTAAATGCCCAGCTCTACTTACATGAATGGCACAGCAGGGAAATGACAAGTGGAATGAAACTAGAGTAATATCAGTGACTGCAGTCCAAAACCCTCAGTTACACAGCTATAAAACATAAAACATCGAGCAGTATTATAGCAAGGAAAAAAAAAAAAAGGTGCAACTTCGGGTCTGTTAATGTCAGAGGGAACACTTATACTCTTTGCTCTGAAGCCCTGGTACAACAAAGACATATGTTAGCAGATGGCAAATGGTGATTTCTTTTTTTTTTTAACCTTTAATTTCAAGCAAACTGAACCATTTTCAAGGCCTTCTTTTCCAGATGGCCTTTTACCACATGCAAATAAGATGTGTCAATACCTCACCATTTCTACCAGGTGTCAGATACTAACAGAGACCGCACCGCCTTAGTCCAAGGTGCTGCCAAGACATGATGGTTGCCATATAGGCAGCTTGAGGTTTCTAAGTAAGAGACGGTACCATAATGAAAGGATTTACATGGACAAGAGGACCAGCAAAAAGCCTTGGAAGAGAAGGGTGACTGTAATATGCTAAAATGGAAAACATTTCATCATATAATTAAATATCTGATAGCTTTTAATGTCATATTCCTCATGCTACCACTAAAGAAGAGTATAAATGTGTATTAAAGCAGTCTTTTAGTGACCATCTTTAGGTGGTGTTTCTATATTTATATATCTATACACATATACTAATGCATTAAAAGAAAATCAACTACTAGCTAGCCTGCAGCTTTATGGCTGTTTTCTAGATATACACAAACTGAAATGTTTTTTTTTTTTCTTTTCCCTCCTCCCTGTTCATGTAAGGCATAAACTTTCCACATCATAAAATTATTAATACTGAGTAGGAGTAAAACACATGAGAATGAAAAATGAGGACAATGACTCTAACTCCATGCAATGCAATGGATTAGGATAGTGCTTTGGAAAGTCTGAAAGTATAACAAAACCTAACAGCAACCTGTCCTTTCTAGCTTTGATTATTTAGCATGTGTGTATTTCTGTAGCACATTTGCGATACAGACATTATCATGTAAAAGCCTTCCTGATTACTCAGTTTCACTTACTATTTTCACTGTTGTAATCTCAGTTAATTTTAAAATTCAAAACATACATAAACAATATTCATATCAATGACGAAATTAAAATCTTCAGTTTTAATTATCTGTATCTGATCACTAACAGAAACATGTATTTTTGTCTACACCCAGGGTGACTCAGTCCCAGGGATATAAATCAGAAATAATTCTGCTTAAATTCAAGCTACTTATAAAGAAATGAATTCAGCTGTCGGAAGAATTAGGCCTGGGGTTTTTAAAACAGTGGCATTCACTTAATTGTAAATGCTTACGGAAGTGCAGAAAGTACATGACAGCAAGACGGCTTTTCTATGTGCCAGCATAGATGACCCCATCAACCCATTCTTGCTAACAGTTACTCCAAACTGGAACAATTCTTTCTTCTGGACTACAGTTTACCCACTGTGTTGCTTGGAAATACTTAAATTATATGTGAGAGAATGCTGATTTCCGTTGCTTTTATTTCTTACTGATGACCAGTATTTGCTCTGGCTTTATAAGGAGACTGTCAGGTCATGGAAGATGTGGGGAAGGATTTCTGAATATCAGAGAGCAGAGACAAGCCGGTGCAATATTGCAGCAGAAGAGGGTGCAATATTGCAGATACCAGCAGAATGTTCTGCTTTCAGCCAGATTAATTCCTGTCAGTATGAGGGAGCAGTAGCTATATCAAGTTGCTCATGTCTTCCTGACAGCCTTAACCATTTTGCTAACACAGCAGCTCTCGTAGCTATTCTGCTTGGGATAAATGGAGATTTGGACTTAGAGCATGTGAGTTCACAAATATCAAAGTGTTTGTTTTCAGATGTTGCTGTAGCTGGCACTGCCCTGCCTCTGAGAGCCCAGCCATTCTTGCTATCCCCATCTCACAAGTGTGAGAAATGATGCCAAGCAGTTACTCTATTCCAATGCAGTGCTGTGCAGAACTGAGTCATTAACCACCAGGCTTTGCTTTCCTCCATTCTCTCTGATTCTTGCACAGGTAAGGAGCCTTGGGGATACGTTTCCAGTGAGGAATTACTGAGAACTGGACAAGGATCCAACCCTTTTTGACTGGCCCTCAAAGTGAATCAGAGCTAAAGTAAAAATGCAAGAGGCACTTAAAATGGGGAGAAGTGGTTATTATTTAGAAAGAGTCATTTTACTTGTTTTCCTACCAAAACATATTTAGGTGTCTGTTAAACAGTATCAAAGCCAGTGGACTTCTTACCCAGGGGTTTTGGCAGTGGATGGCAGGCTGTATTTCTTCAAGGAGTTTCCTGTAAGCATAGGACAGAAAGACAGGAAGTCAGAAGTTTTGTCAAGACCATTGGGAACTACAGATATTAAAGACTATGTAAAATATGCATTTCTCCAGGTTTCAAACGTAAAGGAGGAATGCAACACCTGCAGTATAAGGTTATGTCATCTGTAGTCCAAAGTTAGGCTCTCCAATTTCAGAAACAAGTTTTAGCAGAGTTACATCTAAGCCCTGGCCTCAGTAGTAACAACACTGCAGATTATTTGTGCAAAAATATTTTTAAACAAGTGAATGAGACACTGTCTAATTTCTACAGTGCAGCAGTAATTCAAATTAAGATAGCAAAAAAAGGTTTTTGAACTCTGAAAGAGGTCTTATTTTACTTGGTTTGTTTTTTAGTCCTGTGCTAGCCCAGACTACCTTTTCTGTAAAGTGATTCTTTTTGAAGCACAATAATTCATCATGCTTGGTGGTGTGAGCAATAGGGACATGTGTGCGAAGTCGTGTAAACTCAGCGCCATCTACTGTGCACAGCATTCCTGGTAGCTTTGGCACATTAAAAAAGGGTAGTGACCTGGGGTAGATCCAGAGTGGCAGCATGAACAAACAGCTCTGATGGCTGTGAAAAAAATATTTGTTCCAGAGCCTCATAAGAATCTACATTACTGTCAGATAGGACAGCCGTGCAGGATGGAAAGACTAGATTGTGTTTCAGTCACTGATTTTTTCAAGTAGCAGTCAGCCCCACACAGATATCTTTGCTGAGAACAGAAAAGATCTGCACTTTGCTAACTTGATGCATAGAGGGATTTTTAGAATAAAGACCATGTAGTTCTTAAACCCTGAGAAATTCAGTCTTTGGGTACTGCCATGAAATTGCTTTTCAACTGTAGCAAATCCCAGGTCAGAAAAACTGATATAAAAACAGCTTTAAAAAATTCTCCACCTCCATGCAAACTGTCACTCATAAAAGTTGTCACAACTTAAAACTAGGGGGAAAAAAAGATTTTGCGTAATTTTTACAACAGAAGGCAGTAATAATCATGCCAGATCTATGCATATTTCAGTATGTACTTAGGTACTCTGAGGATATCTGTTAGAGATTTTGACTCTGAATAAACCCAAATGCTGATTGTTTCAGGACTGCTGCAGATTTTTGCTTTGCTTCAAGAATTCAACACAAAGTTGTGACCTGAGAAGCTTTGATATTCAACAGATCTCTAACATGACCAAATTGCAAAGAGACCAGCAGTACAATTGACTTCCATCCTTCCCTGGCTTTGTGTCACTCTTTACATTTTGAATTTGGCAGTTTGCAACTATCTAATATGCAGATGTTCTCTTAAAAATTCCTGGGTTTGATCTTGGCTGTTTTCCGTGTGACATTAAGCATGCAATTACAACCAGGCGTTCAGCTTAGCAAATGGAAGTATGCATCGAGAACTCCAGAAACCCATTGCCTCAGTGTGCCTATCTGGTAGGCTGTGAAGCAACCAAGATCACCACAGTTTTTACTGCGTGAGGGAAAACGCTAACTTTCCAGGCCTTTGCTTCTGTCCTGAGTGGTGGCTTCCATGAAAATTATGAAGTTTATAGAAAAGTCTTTAAAGCTAGGTCTTTTGTTACCTGGGTGTAATCATACACATCTGAAACTGAATGCACACTTTATCTCGCTATAGACATGTAGTTCCCTGCAAAATGTTTTAAACTGTGAAATGCAATTGATGAATCTTACTCTTGCACCAGTGAGAAAGCATGTGTGTACAGTTGTGATTTTAACGGGACAGTTTAACACAGCTTGTTCATTTAATTAAACTCTGTAATAATCGCAACAACAATTTAAGTATCCTCTTACCTTCCACTGTCAGTTCCACGGTCACTTGACGAACCCCACCATCATTTGCAGCCTCACAGGTGTATTTACCACCATCCCCTTCCTGTACACCTTTGATTACCAAGCTGAATATCCCCCGAATGCTGCGGTCCACAGCATAATGGTCTCCCTCTGGGACAGGATGCCCGTTTCTGTACCACGTGATCTGAGGCTCAGGGTAGCCTCTGACCTGGAAAGATGTGAGAGAGAGTGGAGAAAGAAGGCAAATATAACAGATGATGGTATTAGGAAGAAATGTTGGACATTTAGCAATGCAGTGGAAAGTTCTTGACAGAGGAGCTGTTAAACACATACTCTTTGCAAGCCAAATGGCAGAACAAAATGAAATGAAAAAACTCTTGGATAAGTCAAACTGTTAAAATCATAAGACTAGGCAGGCAGATAGATACCTACACAGAAAAGTTTCCCACTAGAATGGTTTACCTGCAGAAGCATAGTGATGGTGCCAATGAAGAATCCCGGCACCTGGGTCCCCATTGTTCAGAAACTCAAGGGCAGTAGTGCTACTCTACCTCTAAGTATGCAAGATTGCAAGGTATCTAGATCAAAAATTTCTAGCATGGTTGCCAAGGATTAGGTTTATATTGTAAATCTGTATGGAGCCATCTAGTTTTCAAATGTGCTGAGATATGGTAGTTCCTGACAATATACAGGCAAGAAATGCAGACACATACCAAATTTTGTCTTGATCTTTAAAAGCAAAAGATAAGGAGTTGCAATTTGAGAAAGTGTCATTAAGTGTCATTCTCATGTTATGGTGGTAGGGGGACTATAAAGACCTAGACATATTCACATAAACACACTGCTCGACTTAAAGAGTTTTGTGGTCTGCTGGTAGCCCAAGGAAGAGTTTTCTACAAAATGAACCAGTCCTGTGCTCATTAAATAGCAACCATATTAATATATCCTTGCCTGCTATGGCATTAATAACACCTTCAGATTTGCAGGCAGATTCTTAGCTGGTATAACTGAGAACGGAGTTACTGATTTCAACTGAGCTGTTGAAACCTGCTGAGGATCTGTGCCTCATAAAAAAATGGGAAAAGCAGACATACACCAGTTTCCACCAAACTCCTCAGGCAAAGGTTCTTCCTCTGCTTTATGAGAGATGCCATCCTCTTTGAAGGTCGCTTTAGTATGTGTTAACTGTTAGCACACTTCCCCAGTCATCATAACAACTCCTGATTACAGTATTTCCCCTTCTTTCCTATTCCCCCACTCTGATATGTTAGCTCTCCATCTTCCGACTCTTTGATCCTTTGCCTACATGTTATGAAGTAACTGAGTGGATCAAGATGAGCTGGGATGAGTAATAGTTGTGGCTGTGTTTGCTCACTGGGAAAGGAGCAATGTTGCATTTTGAACTACGTTATCAAATCTTGGCAACTGAACAGGAAGTCCCTTCAGCCTCCAGGTGGGCAAAATATTGATGATCTGTCTTGATTTGAAGAAGGCTTGGTTGTGGCTTGCACAAATTCCTCCCAATGTTCTCCTCTCAGTTTCCAATCCACATTTCAGCTCTGCTTTCTTTTGACTGCACAGCACTTACTTTCCAAATTACAATCTTCAGCCAACCAACCTTACCCATTCTTAGGTTCTCTTCTTTCAAAACCTTTCATTTTTAATCCAGCCCCACCTCACTCCAGCTGGGTTTCTCATCTGTTGGAGCTTAACCTACAGCTGTCAGAAATTTTTCTCTTTCCTTTAATTCCTTGGGTATCAGTTCAGACAAATTAATTTTGCCAGTGATGTGGTGACCTCTTCTTCCTGGCACTACTTACGTAATATATAGAGAGAGGACATTAATGTTTGCCAAGAGCATGAATATGCTGAATAAGCTGGAGAAACTTTCCACTTCTGGTACAAACTTCTCAAATTCTTTCTGAGTCTATCTTTACCTAAGTAAGAGCCATGTTCTATGAAGAATACATTGTGGGATCCTGCACAATGGGGAGTTGATTGCTGTTTAAAAATACCACAGCATCTTTCTAAAGCTCTTTGCGGCCATGCCTTTTCTTTCCTGTGCTTTCTGAAAAACAGCAGCTCCCACTCAACCATGCCCCCTAACACTACTCCAGATATTGGTTTAGAGCTTACTCAGAGGGCAGGCTCCCAGGAATATCTTTCTCAGCACATCTCATTTTCAGAAAAAGGGAGTTGTGAAGCATCAATATGAGATTTTTACAGTAGTGTAACTCTTGTTAGTTGATAATATGCTCACTGGTACAGAAAGTGACTTGTACCAAAGAACTGTTTCTTACTATTAACTTGTCAATGCCCTCCTACCTATCTTTTCATTTTAATTTAAGAAACGAACAGAGAGATTAAGTGATTTACCCAAAGCCAGAGAGTATAACAGAATGGAGTTTCTACCTCTCGTTTTTGCTTCACTGGATATTAAGGTTTCCTTGAATTTGAAATATTTGAGGCAAAATGGCTTAGAAAATGCTATTTCAAGTAATACAATACAGTAAAATGACAGAATAGTGTTTGAATTGGTGTGAAGAAAGAACCACCTTTTCAGTGCATTACATCACAACCTCTTTACTAACATTAGTCTAGCCACATCTGTTTATAGCTGCTGAGATTCTGGCCTGTGAATACAAGTCATCAATTACACGTCACCTAATATATTTACTATTTTTTCCAGTTCACAATCATTCCTTCTGGTGTTTTCTTCTATGTATTGTTCAAGCCAGGTCCAAAGCTCCCAAGCATAAACCTTCCATCACTTATCCCAGGGAACAATTGGAGTTGAAGCAACGGGAAACACCTTCCTTCCATTTTTCTTTTTGTTTTATCATATTTTTAAGTCCCTCTTGGACCACACAAGGCCATTTTTACCTGACCCCTTGAGTTCTGGTAGACCATTATACATGCCCTTCCAGTATCACATGGCCGAGCCTACATTAAGTATTTTTCCATTTCTTCCATGTGTGTTTATTTTATGCTTGCTATGTCTGTATTATTTTGTTCATCCACACCTCTACACTGAGGAAATGCCACACAGAAAATTACAAACACAGACGATCAGCATGCCATTTCCTTTCAAAAGGTTGAGTCATTCCCTTCCCAAACTCTGTATTTTTTCTCTTTCATTTTTTGTCAAAAATGAAATGATGGGAAAGCAGGAGTTTACAGAATTGTTCTGTTGCAAGGATTTATTTCAGGTTTGGGTTTGGAATGTGTTTCAAACTGAGCCAGCCCTCTCCGAAATACATAGTCTTGCCATAAAAGTGTCAGGGACCCTTAAACGAATCACTGGTTACTAAGTTTTGATCCTAATGGATCAATTCCAGAACTGCAGCAGGTTTTATATTCCTCCCTAACCTTTCCAGAGCTCACTAAAAACATCTGCCTTGAATAAATCCACAGCAAAGAGAAATTTATCTGCTTATTTAATGCCCAGCAGAGAAGGCTATAACCTTTATTTACAGCTTGGCCTGTGTGAGTATTGCCAGTCCCAGTGAGGCTACAGCTTTTCTTTACCTGCTCTACAACACTAACAAGTGGAAAATTGACAGCAAGCAGCAAATAACCGTTGTATTAGCACAAACATGAGTTTTGAGTTTTTGTCTGGACCCATCAACCGCTTAGAGTCTTCCTGGAAAAATCTGCTAAGGTAAACCAGGCCTTCTGCTCCATGCATCAACACAGCAAATGGGAAGAGCTGAAAGAGAACCTGTTGCCTGTGAAACTTCCAGAGTTAAGATTCAGTTCTACATCTACGTCTGGGGGAATGCTATTGAAAAAGGATGGCACTAGATTCCCAAAGAAAAGAAATAAGGAGAAAAAATACAACAAATCTATTGAAGCTGTACACTAAAGGATAGTATTATTAAAAAATGTGCTGCTACAAACTAGTCCCCACTGTCACAAACCTAAAGGCATTCAGTGACCACCAATGCCAAATATATTCAGTGAGCCTTCTTCTTGTTTGAAAGCGCAGGAAAGATTTTCTAAAACTTGGCCTATATCTATGCTTTGTAAAAGAGCTGTTTATATACCAATTTCAAAAAAACATAGGTTTGTCTACTTAAATGCATCACAGTTGCAGTAGCAGTTTAGGGCAATGAGATGCACTCTTTTGGCTCATGCTTTTAACTTCAAAGTCATATCCTGCTTTGTAATAACTGTTGCTGGCTCCAGTGAGGTTAACAATGAACACAAACCCACAGCACCCAAAATGAGTCAGCCGTAAGTGACAATAAACCAAAGTGTAAGTAACTGTGAAACACTGATGGGGTGTGTACTATTCCTAAGTGTTGCTCACTTTGACAGTAATACCTTCAGAATACTGGAAATGATGGCAAACATTACATGACGTATTGTAGCATTACGTTTATACTGGCTGAGGTGTTCAGTGCTTGACGTTAAGGACTAGATAAATGTCCTGTGTTGCTGCTCAAGGTCACATCAACAAACAAGCAATGAGATCAGGAAGAAAACAGCTTTCAAAAAGATGTCTTCATTTGCAAAATCTCCCTAAATTACATCATATATAGACAGGCACATCAAAAGCTGTACTAAGACTGGCAATGATACAACTGTTATGAAGTTGCTATTCGAAATAACTCCCCTCATAGAGATGATTTCATATGCTGCAATATGAATTCCACTAATGACTAAAATTCCTCTCAAGAGACAATCCTTCTCCCATGAAGTCAGAATTTAAAAACATCCAGATTCTGTCAGCACATAGCGTTCGGTTGTGTTGCTATTTCTGTAGACTACCTCTGCCTTTAATTCTACAAAATCCAGAATTAAGACCTATGCATGTAAAGTATTCAATCATTGAATAAAAGAATCAGTTGTATTTGGGTGGTTCAATCCATCTAAAGAAAATTGATTTTGAATTTACCTTTGAAAGACAGAAATATTGCCTATTCAACTTTTTATACTTCACACGCTATTTAAAATATAGCTTTCAACCCAATTTGTACACCTTGCTGCTTTTTGAGGAAGGTTGTCCCCTTTGTAGGCTGTTAAAGAATAACAGGGTATAGTAAGTAGTATTTAACATCCTAAAATAAGCAGGTTTGCTGCTCCTGCAGCTAAGTGACACTGCTTTTTGACACCTGGTTCTCAGTGAGAAGAACTTGGTATCATGACTGCCCATTTATATTTGAGACAGAAAAATACAGAATATACTTCTTAGAGAAAATATAT